GTTCAGCGGTTTCGGTACTAAAGTTCATATCACCCACCGCGATTAGGAAAAGTGTTCAGAACATTTGAATTTTGGCCCAATGGCCACAGCGTATTTGGCTGAGGAATTTCCCGAATTCGTATCTGCCGTGGTTTAGAATCACGGAGATTCTAATGTATGTTTAGATGAATGCCTCCTAAATAATAAAATGCAGTAGGTTTGCAAAAAAGCCTGAAGCGGATTGACCTGCATTTTTGTCAATGCAGCCAGGTCACGAACAGAAACTTCGATTTCCAGGAAAATTTCATGACAATCATACAAACGAAAGAAACAGTCCAAATCTGGGAGACTTAGCAGATATGCTTTGTGCACTGTATCATAGACTTCCAAGTATATTTGCTGCATTTGGGTGACAGTGGCTCAATGAAACTTCCACAAATTTAGCAGGTCAAGTCTGTGGCCCCTTCAGAGGTCAGCGTACTTCGTATTTACCGATTAAGAACTACATAGGCTTTAGTGGATGCCACTGAAATCTATGACATCACCCCCTACACTTTCTTTTTGTGCCTTTTCTTGCTTACAAGGAGTTTTTCCACAGCAAGTGTGGTGATTTTGGTACTCTGAAAAAGCAACTCACTAACATAAGAAAATTTATTTTTTTTCTTAGTGTCCTTTTCATGCTGAAACAGCTACAAACACCTGCCAACGAAAATTTCAGCACCTCTAAAGGAATACATGACAAAGTGTACTAGAAGATTTAATGTCCCACCGGCATCACGATATTTAGAATAATGCAAAGAACGAAAGCCCTCCCATGTTTTTCTTAATTTTTTCATAAAATTGCAGCAAAGTCATAAACAGCTTTTATTGACTGCCAGCAGACTTTTCAGACATTAGTGATCCTACTGGTTCTCATAACAACACTGTATGTGCATGTGCGCATGATTAAAGGACAAAGTGAATTCTCTAACATATTGTGCACTTCTGTTCTTATTGTACATCACAACATAAGTTTTTTTTCTGATGACTATTTTGAACCATTTCTCATGACAACTGTGCTGTGTCGTTGCAAATATGGCCACTAAATATAATGTTGGCTCTAATGCAAGTGTTCGAGTCAAAAATACACTAATATGACATAAACTGTGAATGCATGTACTATCTGGGTCAAATGAAACCCAAACAGCGGCAAGCCTCCTTCACAGTGGTATAGTGTGCCTGTCCACTTATCATAATAGACAGGCACGGACGCATATATATCTGCAGAGCTGCCAAACAGTATGCGCACGCCTGTCAATGGTGATAACTAGATGGCACGCACTACACTGTCACGAAGACTTACCACTGTTCGGGCTTCATTCGGCACCGATAGTATGTTACTTGGCCTTAAATTTTTGCTTTTCAAATCTGTGAGTACTGTACTGTGACGAAGGTGACTTAAGGAACTATTGCACAAGACGTTTGACATCTTGGAAACTAATATATACCACTGTGCATACGACACTTCATTTGCTAGAAGACTGTTTATGCCCTGCAGGGCCTAAAATAAAATTCTGATGCAGCAGTACTCAGCAATAGATGTTTTGGGGACCCCTTGCGGAGACCAACGTGATGAGGAACCCCTTGCAAAAAGAGAAAGCAGGCGCATAGCCAGAAATCTTTTTGGGAGAAGGGAAATTCAGCCATACTTTATGTATGTTTATGCATGTGTATTTGTATACACACACACACACACATATTATATATATATATATATATATATATATATATATATATATATATATATATATATATATATATATATATATATATATATATATATATACACATATATATATAGTGGGAGTAATAATTCAATGGGCCAGTTAGTCTTCTTGAAGGTATGGGATATGGCACAACAGGAGCGTTGTCAACAAGGGTAAATATATTTATTTCCCAACAGTTTCGGGAGGGGTCCTCCCTTCATCAGGGGATGAGTTAAACTAACATGAACTTCCAAACTTCGTTGCTGCCGCGTCCCTCTCGCCTTGGAAGATGTTTGCGAGAGTGAGAGAACTAAAAAAAGAAAGAAAAAGAAAGAAAAAAAGACGAAAAGAATAAAAGGGAAAAAAGAAAAAAAAGTAAAAAAGAGATGTTTTACTTTCTTTTTTCCCTTTTATTCTTTTCGTCTTTTTTCTCTTTTTTTCTTTCTTTTTTTTAGTTCTCTCTCACTCTCACAAACATCTTCCAAGGCGAGAGGGACGCGGCAGCAACGAAGTTTGGAAGTTCATGTTAGTATAACTCATCCCCTGATGGAGGGAGGACCCCTCCCGAAACTGTTGGGAAATAAATATATTTATCCTTGTTGACAACGCTCCCGTTGTACCATATATATATATATATATATGCAAGAAAATTTGAAAAAATTGAGGAGAAGAGGGCTGAAACCCCAACCCTCCCTCGACTACACCCCCTGGATAAAGGCACGGTGGGTGAAGGATGGTTATGGACAGCATGAAATGGGTGCCTTTTATTTCCCCCCCGGCAAACAATGATCAAACTAAAGTGTCATGCCAATTCTCTCTCAACAGCTTGTATTCAACCTGTTCCTAGCTATGTTTTCTCTTCAAGCATGCAAGCCTAAAGAAGTATGCTCGCATGCATATGTCGTAGAAAACTACAACAAAAGCTTTACGACCATCTCATGGAGTATAGAAGACCTAAGTCTGCTTGGCCACAATTCAAACATGTTATGCGATGAAGCATACAAAAAAATAATTGGAGACGGCCGCTGTGAGTGGACATGATGTGCCCCTCACAAAAAGCTATTTCCTCCCCCCCCCCCCACCCCAAACAATGGTTTTGCAGACCCCCAGGCCCCTATTTCATCACCATTGCCCTAATGGTAGGCGTGCATTGCAGCAAGTCACAACAAAAATAAAACATGGCTAACTGCATTAACAAAGGCCACAGGCAAAAGAGGGGGAAATGCTCCTTTGATTAAAAGCAGAACCAGAGGCACCTCCTTCGACTGTATTGATCAGGAGAGGGAAAGAATACCACAGCCCCCCTTGGGATAGTTAAAGGGACACTAAACAGAAACAATCACTTGGTTTAGATTGATGAACTGCACGCTGAGAACTCTAACACAAGTTTCACCATCGCAAGTTCATTATCAGCAGAGACAATGGAGGCTGAAGTTTCATTTTTAAATTTTGCACCTAAATTTCCATGTCTAACATCCGAAATTTCAAAATGCATTTTTCTTTGTATTTTTGCAATGTTGGCTCTGTGAAATTTTCTGCAACTTCATATGCTAGTTCTATGGCACCCACAGATGACAATGTACTTTATTTTTATCAATTAGAAGCTACATAGGACACAGAAGAAGCTTTCAAAATTTTTGACCTCACATCGTTTGGTGCAGGAATCTCAAGGTGGCGTCTCTGCCTGTTTTCTTTTCGCACATAATCTCACTTACCAAACGTCTTGTCGCAGTAAGGTGGTGTTCTCAAGATTGTGAAATAGTACTTTACCAATACACGAAGAATCGTTTTGCTTTTTAGTGTTCCTTTAAATGTTGGGGCTCCTCAAAGCCAAGAAATTTAGAATAGTACATGTTATTTTGTTTATTGCAGTGGGGTTTACGCTGCTTTTTTTTTTCTTAGAGATTTATGGCCATGCCTGTACAATCTGGAGGATTGGTCAGAATGCATGCGTCGTCTGGCCACATCACGAGAGTTAGCATGTATGCATGTAGGAACTGTTTTGGTTTAATTAGACCTAACCTTCGAGAGAGAAATTTTTTCTACAAATGCGACCCCACAGCGTCCATTTTTTTTTAGTTGCAGATTGAAGATCTTCACAGCAGCCTCATGAAAAAAATTGCTCTTACTTTCCTAGAGTGACCATAGATGACAAAGATTTTTTCCATGAGTATAAAGGTACTGCTTATAAATGAATAATAAAAAAAACAGGAATATATATTACATTAATAATAAATATGCAAAGGTTTAAATATGTTTCCCAGGCTTAAAAATACACACACACACAACATTACTGTCACATTTTGGCAGTAGTTCGCACCAAAGGAATTGCTGCTCAGCTCGCTTGAAGCAAAGAAGTTGGTGTATCCAGCTATTGTATAATCAGGAGTGTTTGAGCACATGCAAAAAAACTCTGTTGTTGTGCACCGATCATAAAAACCACATGTATTAGAAATTTCTGGTAATAATTCATCTCATTGCCGCCAACAGTCAATCATCAACTTTTGGATTCAAAGAAAACAAAACGCAGAGACACAGTAGCACATTTCATATACAGCGGCTTAATTTGTTTAGCAATAGTGCAGTTACTTGTAAACAGCAATAATTGAACCCTGTGGGCAATAAACAGCTGCATATCAAGTGGTCACTTAGATTAAAAACGTGACAGACAACAGTATTTCCTAATGTAACAAAAACTCGCTTCAGAGACAAATCCAAAATACATCCCTATGCCCCCACATATGTGCATACATGCAAGCAATAGCCGACATGGCGACCTAAACAGACCTTGGAATGAAAACTGAAGGTAAAGAGCGCAAAAGTAACCGCGCAAAAGTCTTTGTATCCCTGTAAGATTTGCTGGCAAAAAAAAAAGGAAGAATCCCTGTAAGCATTTGCTGGCAAAAAATAAGGAAGAAAAAGGAGGACAAGTTGGTGTGTTTTTGAAACATACAGATGACACTGCAAACATATGGTATCAATCCTTAAGAATTTTTTGGCAGCTTGAATTGGAATCAACGTTGTAAAATGGTGTTCTGTGCATACAGCTGGCCTTAAGAAAACCACAGCTAACAAAAAAAAAAGCTCTCAGTTCTATCTTTTGTAGTTTGCAAAAGAGTAAAACAATGGGCTAGTTCATGTGCAACATAATAGAAAAAAAGTTGAAGAAAAGGTTGCAGGAATGTAACGTAACAAGTGTTGTTTATATTCAACTGCTGGTTTATTAAACTAACTTCCACCAGCTTTGTCACTGCAAAAGACAAATAGGAAACTTACTTCGTTTAACCATTGTGATGTAGTCATCCTCTGAAGGACAGATGTAGTTGTCCCTCCAGTAGATTTCCATGCCTTGACCACGGTGAAGCTCTAGGCACTGTTCTGCATTAAGTATAGGTTCATGAACAGTGTTACAATTTTCTACAATGGACATCCAGCCATATAAATCGAATCTGTGGCTCCATATTTCAGATATTTCACAATAGCCACCTGGATGATAGCACAAGCTTAAAACGCAGATAAAAATGAGACAGACAGACCCACATAATTAAAGCATTATTCTTTTCCTGCACAGTGACTTCAGTATGAGATAAAACTAAGATGTACTTCTGGATTACTTCAAGACAAACTTCTGGACCCCATTGTAAAATGGATATTATAGTCTCAAAAGCTACAGCGACACTGCGAGTGGTACTGTAGCACATGTACAAGCCACAAAAATATGGGTGTTTTGCAAGATAAAATAACAAGGGAAGGAGTCAAGAGAAGCATGAACTTCAGACTGTTTATTCATTTCATCCTGCATCGAAATTTATAGGCACAGATATGCACAGTAAAGGCATATAACGAGCCCACACCACAATGTGGGCCTAGCTTAGTCCACATGTCTGTGCCAATAAATTTTTATGCAGGATATCATGAATAAATAGTCAAATGTTTGAACTTCCCTTGACCCCTTCCCTCGCTCTTTTGTCGTGCAAAACAGCCATATTTTTGTGGCTTGTACATGAACATGAACAGACTAACCCAGCAAAGAGCTCTGGATGAATTTAGACCAGATGAAGTTTCCCAATAACCTCTGTACATTGTTTTTAGGTTCGTCATTCCGACGAGGCTAATGCATCCATGTAACCAAACTTGGTTACTGGGTTCGTCATTCTGACGAGGCTACTGCCTCCCAGTAACTGTACTTGATGTTTGTGCATGCGTTTGTGTGTGTATGTGCATATATACACAAGCAGAACTGAAGAATTTCGAGGGCGGGTGAACCTCCATGAAAAGCAGCATATGACCATGAAATTCAACATATCAAGAGAATGACTTATCTATTTTTCAGTTTGGACAATCTGCTGCATGTTTGTTGAACAAACTATGCAGCCAAATATCCAAAGAAAGTTGGTTCACAATCACTCCACAGAACTTTCTAATAATAATAACACCTGGGGTTTTTCCTTCGAAAATCAGGATATGATTATGAGAGACGCTGTCATGGAGAGCTCTGGAAATTACGACCGTCTGGAGTTCTTTAATGTGCATCGACATCAACCAGTACGCTAGCCTCTGGCATTTCACCTCCATCGAAATGTGACCGCCGCAGCCGGAATCCAACGCATGACCTTTGGATCACACCATAAACACTGCTCTACCACCCTGAAACCCACAGAACTGTCAATTATATAGAATTGATATTGGAATAGAATTTAGTAATGCGATTAAAATTACCTGATCAGCCAAAACAACTACAGTTGACTCTCATTAATTCAAACTCGAAAAGACCACTCAATTTTATTTCAATTATCAAGAAGTTTGAATTGTCAGAAGTTCTCAGATAGATGACTCAGGGTGAGATGACACCACACATTATGATTAGGCATTGATTTTAACACATTTAAAATTTTTTAGGCGTTTTTGAACCCTAACTGCACGCAATGAAAAGAAAGCAGAGGTGTAAGGTCCAGAAGTTTATGCACATGCTGTAGACATTCTGGACTGTCGAGGAAGGTGTCCTCGGCGTTTCACATAAAATCAGCACAAAATTCCAGGAGAGAAAGTGTGCAAAACATCCTTACAGCCCGACTCGGGTTGTGCAGTTTTGAGTTTCATTTACGGAGCGTCTCCTCACGTGGCAGTGCATAGATGTTGCTTCGCTACGCTTGCAACAGATGGCGTGACGCGCTTTTCAATATGGCAGCACGCACTGAGCTCGCTGTGTCCTGGTGTATAACAAGAGTGCATATGGCATTATTTCAATCGTTTTTTTTTCCTTCTGCATAACCCAAAAATCAACTACTACGTTCATTTAGCAAAATCCAAGAAACAAATTAATGGTTCAAAGTCACTTTCTGAGCACCTACACAGGCAACATTTTGTAGTGTGTACCGTAAAAAACGGAATATAGGTCGGACCGGAATATAGGTCCACCCCCCAAACTTTGTATCTCCAAAAAAGAAATTTTTAAAAATCCGAAAGTATCACGGTGCACAATTACCTTGGTAAATACGTGACGCAACCAGCTCCAATGTGGTGACGTTATTTGGACACTAATCCTGTGTAGTTAAACGTCAGAAGGCCACAAAGCGCTGTCACTCAGACTCGTCCAAACTCGAGTCCGACGACGTCCGTTTTTGACTAGTAACGTCCCAGAGTGCATCATCTTCCGTTCCATCCAATGCCCTTTCTCTTCATAAATCGGCCACCCACGATGGCGATCCTTTGAATTGCACCCTCGTTAGCCCAGACTCGTGCACTATCTCCCGGACGAATTCGGCAAGTAGGCATTTCCAGTTGGGGGGTGCACTGCAGTCCCTCCACGAAACAATTTTTGTTTTTTGGTTACTGCAAGACATGATGCGCTGCTTTTGGCTCCTCCAGTATCGGACACTTTTCTCCGATGCACCCAATTCCCGTTGTGCCGCCAGGTTGCCGTGCACTTTGGCATACTCAATAATTTTTTTCTTAAATCCTATTGTAAACCGTCGTCGACTACCACTTATTTCTTAAAGAAATAAAATGAGAAAAAGAGAAAACTGGCAGCAAATAACCGAGGCAAAATGGCGTTGCTAGAACACTGTAGGCCTTGCCTAGCCTTGCCCAACAGCGCTGCTGCTGATGCATGATGGCAATGGAGGCTTTAGACTTCAGCTGCACATTGTTGCGAGACTTCCACTTTTTTTTTTTTTCTGCAAATGACCAGTATATAAGACGAGGGTCAACTTTTCATTAACTTTTTTTTAATTCGACCTATATTGCAGTTTTTACGGTATCTTTTATCTACAGATAGTGAGGCTCATATAAGTGCACATGAAGTTACAATAAATCAGAACTAGTTCATCAGGAGTGATATGTTATCTCTTTCTTAAGAGCCACACATGCCATCTTTACATAAAAGAAGCAATGTGAAAAAGGAAGCCATGTTTACGTTGAAACTGGCAATTTATTCTTTTCCTGGACTGCAAGAAAAAGTTTAGATGGAGAATTCATCTAGTACATAACAAATAATCAGGTTCTAACGCGCATGTTTGCAGGTATTGGCGTTCAAAACTGATGGAGTGTTTCCTTTCACACTAAAGCAGTGCATACCATACACCCAGACATCAAATATTTTACATATGCTTAATCTAATTTTAAATTTGTATGGACAAGCCTACATTGCAGATTCATAGGACTTGTGATTTTAACTAATTATTAGTGCATTACATTCATATGTATCGCTGCTGTGACAAGTAAAACCAATCGCCTCAATGAAATGAAAGCTAATCCCCATCCGCTCCACTCTCTCAATGACTTGAGGTATGAGAAAGAGTAACAAGCAGAGGACGTAGGCAGGCTCACCAGTGAAAACAGTGGTGGCCTGAGGATCACCCAGCTGTAGACATTTCTCAAGACTGAGGAAGTAAACATAGTTGGCAGAGTTTATAGTGCTGGCCACTCCAAAGATGTGATGTGCGACAGGCACACCTCTTCGCAGCAAAGAGTTATCCTCAATGTCATCAATCCTATAAAAAACAGAAAAAAAAAAAGGTCTATGAAGCTATAGATGATGCTGAATGAACTAGGTGTACTAAAGTGGCCAAGTAATAGGTTAGCACAAAATTCCAGCATTCATCAATATGCAAGTACACAACTTTTATTTTTCCACTTAAAGGGACACTAAGGTCAACAATTTACGTGAGAGTGAAATCTCAATGTATGACAGCATCTAAAACTACAATATCATCAACAGCAGCGCCCTACTTGCTGAGAAATTAGGGTAAATGCACGAGAACACATGCGCCGCAGTAGGACATTCTCAAAATGATCTCAATGATGTCAGAGTTACAGTCTACAATTAATCACTAGTAATTGAACTAGCTGCACTAAATAAAGAGCCTTCCGTGCAGCAAGAAACGTAAAGATATGCTGCTTGTTCATTTCTGTCTAATTCATGAAAAAAAGAATCACCGGACGTTACTATTGGCAATGGCACGAGTGGTTCAAAATTTCAAACTTCGCTTGGTTGAACTGCACAGGTCGTGGCATCTAGCGGGGCCCAGTTGAACCAAGCTAGTCTGCCATCTTGGAGCCAATGGCAGGAAATGGTTCAATGATTCTATTGTTGCTACTGTGGTTTCCACTGCTTTTGTTCTACTGCTCCTAGTGTCAGTGGCCGATCAGCAAAGCCAGGCAACGTTGTGCATGGCAACAGTGATGCAAGATGTTGTGCTGCAGGCAAACAATTTGAAGTGTGCTAACCCGATGTAGACCACTGAAGCGTGATTTTATTTGAAAATATGCAGTTCCTTGGCCCATTCGGGGTTTCTGGACTGCTATTTCAACAATCAACATTGACTTGATAGTTGCCTTTAGGGTTCCTTTAAGATCAAAAAAAAAAAAAAAAACAGCAAATCATGTGTACTAACTTGGCTTCACAGCAACTAAAAAACCTGTTCCTTAAATACTGCAGGCAAGAACCTATTCACAGGAGTGATGCATCATACATAACATTGCTTGCGCATTAAAAGCATTTTTCAGGAGATATTTTCAGCCGATAATTGAAGGCCTGTAAATGCAAAGCAGAAACAATGCCGTGAGTTATGACAGCAGAGAGAGAAAGATAAAGGAAAGACTGAGGAAGCCAGAGTAAGACTACGGTTTGCTACAATGTACTTGGGAAGAGGAAATAGCAGCATTGCAGGTAGAGAAACTTTTGCTAATATGTGAATGCAGCCAAGCCACAAGCAAGAGTATTCATGCAAAGTTACGATATCATACTTACAGGAGACTAGAATTGTGGAGCATTTGAACAATCTCTGTAACAGCTTGACATTTTTCAGGGGATATCTTCAGCCAATAATTGAAGGCCTGTAAATTCAAAGCAGAAAAAAAATAGAAATGGAGCAAATTTCAGATCTTTCTACTTACACAGCGTCACTTCAGTGAACTTTTGTTGCAAACTTAAAAGGACACTAAAGAGAAACAGCATCTTTGTTTAGATTAAGATAGCACTCTCAGAACTCTAATGCAATATATTTCACTACCACAAGTTTATAATTAGCAGAGAAAATTAAAGAAGTTTCATTTTTATATTTCACACCGAAATCTTTGCGCGTGACGTCAAAAATTTCAAAATGTATTTCTGGTGTTTTCGAAACAATGGTTTGACATTTTTTTAAACTTCATATGCTAGGTCTATGGCACCCACAGATGACAATGTGCTTTATTTTTATCAATTAAAAGCTATGTAGGACCTAGGCGAGGCCTTCAAAATCTACGACGTCATGCTGTTTGGGGCAGGAATCTCAAGGTGGCGCCTCCACCCACATTTTCTTTCCCACATTTTCTCGCTTACCAAGCATTGTGTCGCGATAAGAATGGTGTTTTTGGGATTGCGTAATTGTACTTTACCAATACGTGAAAAATTGTTATGCTTTTCAGTGTCTCTTTAAATAAAAAGGGTGCCACAGAAGAATATTTCCCATAAAGTCAATCACACAAAACAACAGGTCTTCATATCAGTGCCCTTAAAACCGTCTGCAATAACATAGCAAACAATTGGTACAAATTAAACGAGTGGTACCATGATAAACATTTCGAAGTGTACAGTTGCGTTAGAATAAAAATTGGCAGCCATCAGTAACATACATGTCATCATCATCATCATCATCCGCCTGACTACGTCCACTGCAGGATAAAGGCCTCTCCCATGTTCCTCCAGCTAACCCGGTCCTAGGAGTGCTAGCTGCTGCCAATTTATACCCGCAAACTTCTTAATCTCATCTGCCAACCTAACCTTCCGTCTCCCCCTAAACCGCTTGCCTTCTCTGGGAATCCATTTAGTTACCCTTAATGACCAGCGGTTATCCCGTCTACGCGCTACATGCCCGGCCCATGTCCATTTCCTCTTCTTGATTTCAACTATGATATCCTTAACCCCCGTTTGTTCCCTAATCCACTCTGCTCTCTTCTAGTCCCTTAAGGTTACACCTAGCATTTTTCTTTCCATTGCTCGCTGCGTCGTCCTCAATTTAAGCTGAACCCTCTTTGTAAACTCCAGGTTTCTGCTCCGTAGCTAAGTACCGGCAAGATACAGCTGTTATATACCTTCCTCTTGAGGGATAGTGGCAATCTACCTGTCATAATTTGAGAGTGCTTGCTAAATGTGCTCCACCCCATTTTTATTCTTCTAGTTACATCAATCTCATGGTTCGGCTCCGCGGTTATTAGCTGCCCTAAGTAGACATAGTCTTTTACAACTTGAAGTGGACTATTACCTATCTCGAAGTGCTGCTCTCATCCGAGGTTGTTGTAAATTACTTTCGTTTTCTGCAGATTAATTTTACGGCCCATCTTTCGGCTCTCCTTGTCTAACTCCGTAATCATGAGTTGCAATTCGTCCCCCGAGTTCCTCAGCAATGCAATGTCATCGGCGAAGCGCAGGTTATTGAGGTACTCTCCATTAACTCTTATCCCTAACTGTTCCCATTCTAGGCTTCTGAAAACCTCCTGTAAGGACGCGGTAAATAGCATTGGGGAGATTTCGTCCCCGTGCCTTACACCCTTCTTGAGTGGTATTCTGTTGCTTTCTTTATGAAGCACTATAGTAGCAGTTGATCCCCTGTAGATTTCTTCCAGGATGTTTATATATACTTCATTGATGCCCTGATTACGAAGTGTGTGCATGACGGCTGATATTTCTACTGAATCAAACACCTTCTCGTAATCCGTGAAGGCTATGTATAGTGGTTGGTTATATTCCGAGCATTTCTCTATTACCCGATTAATAGTATGAATGTGGTCGATTGTTGAGTAGCCTGTTCGAAATCCTGCTTGTTTCTTTTGATTGATTGAATTCTAATGTTTTCTTTACTCTGTTAGCAATTACCTTAGTAAATAGCTTGTATACTACAGAGAGCAAGCTGATCGGCCTGTAATTCTTCAAGTCCTTGTCATCTCCTTTCTTATGTATTAAGATGATGTTAGCATTCTTCCAAGACTCTGGTACTCTTCCCGTCAGGAGACACCTCGTAAACAGGGTGGCTAGTTTTTCTAACACAATCTGTCCTCCATCTTTCAGCAGATCTGACGTTACCCGATCCTCACCAGCAGCTTTGCCTCTTTGTATGCTCTCCAAAGCTTTTCTGACTTCTTCTATCATTACTGGTGGGGTGTCATCTGGGTTACTGCTAGTTCTTATAGTATTAAGGTCGTGGTTGTCCTGGCTACTGTACAGATCTCTGTAAAACTCCTCCGCTATTTTAGAAATCCTATCCATATTGGTAGTTATTTTGCCTTCTTTGTCCCTTAGTGCATACATCCAATTTTTGCCTATCCCAAGTTTCCTCTTCACTGCTTTGACGCTTCCTTCATTTTTCAGAGCGTGCTCAATTCTCTCCATGTTATACCTTCTTACATCGCATACCTTACACCGATTAATCAACTTCGAAAGCTCTGCCAGTTCTATTTTGTCTGTTGTACTTGAGACTTTCATGATTTGACGCTTCTTAATGAGATTCTTCGTTTCGTGGGAAAGCTTGCCAGTGTCCTGTCTAACTACCCTGCCTCCAACTTCCACTGCACACTCCGTAATGATACTCGTCAGATTATCATTCATTGTATCTACGCTAAGGTTGGTTTGCTCACTAAGAGCCCAGAACCTCTTCTGAAGCGAGATTCTGAATTCCTGTACTTTCTCTCTCAGTGCGAACTCATTAACTGGCTTCTTGCGTATCAGTTTCTGTCATTCCTTTTTCAAGTCTAGGTGAATCAGAGACCGCACCATTCTATGGTCACTGCATCATACCTTGCCAAGCACTTCCACATTTTGCGTGATGTCTGTGTGTGCACTGATTATAAATTTCGCCATTAGGGCTCCTCCATGTCCACTTGCGGTTTCCTCGTTTTCAGTAGAATGTATTCAAAATCCGTAAATTATTGCATTCTGCGAATTCTACTAGTAGCTCTCCTCTGGCGTTCCTAGTACCGATACCATATTATCCTACTGCCTGGTCTTCAGCCTGCTTCCTCCCTACCTTTGCATTACAATCTCCCATGAGTATAGTATAGTGCGTTTTTACCTTACTCATTGCCGATTCCACGTCTTCATAGAAGCTTTCAACTGAAGCGTCATCATGGCTGGATGTAGGCGCGTAAGCCTGTACCACCTTCATCTTGTATCTCTTATTAAGTTTAATTACGATACCTAGCACCCTTTCATTAATGCTATAGTATTCCTCTATGTAGCCAGCTATGTTAACATACATGTAAAAGAGCACAAACTTAGAAGAAATGAAAAGATGATTACAAGCAGAGATCAGACTTTCTCTGAAGATTATAAAGTGGCATAATATTTGTCAAGCAAACTAAAGCAATACAGATGAAAAAAAAAAAAGCAGATCTCATAGAAATCAAACACAAAGTTAATCAGAATGTTCTGAATTGCTTATTGTGGTCATAGAAAAAAAATAACTAAATAACTTCCAAGATAGATTAAGCAGTTTAACAACAGAAGAAATCCCAAGTTTGCTATGGACAGGAGGACATGAGCACATGAAGTTTGTAGAAACTTTTTTTTTTATTATGCAGCACTTTCTCTCTGAAATGTGAAAAGTACTGTACGAGCTGTAGGTAGATTTATTGACGCTACTGTAAGGATTATCTGCAGAAGCCACTCAGTTGTTCATGCCCATGCTTGTAAACAATGAAGGGAAGAATGAAATATGAAATGCACTGTCTACTGAACAAGTTGGTCGTTTGATTTGTCATTGCAACACAGAATGTAATAAGTTATAAACAGAACAAGAATACAATAGAGTTGAAAAGTTTGAAGTAGGCTATGATGCCACAGAAAGAGACAGAGGAGGAATGACGGCATGTTCTGTATTTCTATTCTCTTGTCTTATTTCTGTCCAAACTTCTCAAATTTTCTGTAACAATTCATTTATATCCCAATCTACTGTGCAAACGGATTTACAAACTAAGTTTTGGAATTTTACATGCTGAAGCCACAATATGCGGGTTACGAAGCATTTCATAGTGGGAAACTCCAACTTCATTTTGGCCATCTAGGGTCCTTTAAAGGTACACTAAAGATAATTTGTTTCCCTTGCATTATTAACTTACAATTTCACAATTCTAAAAGCACCACTCTTACTACCAGAAGATGTCTGGCAAATGAGAAAACGCACAAACTCTTGATACAAGAATTAAGGCCACTTGGAAATTTCTGAATCAGATCACCGTAATGTGATATATTTTGACGACATCTGTTAGGGCCTAGGTAATTATATGCTGGTAAAAAATAGTTACTTCCGCTCAAAGGAACTAAACGCCTAATATTGGAAGTTTCAAAAAACGTCACTCAACTAGCATAGCTACATGCACTTTGCTGTTCCTGCCGTTACATTGATGTTTTTATGCTAAATTTTTAGCACGAAATTTTAACATGAAACTCTGACCTCCACTTTGTTTTCAAATTATTTAGCCAGTGATGGTGAAATAAATGACAGTAAAGTTATGAAGGCATATTTTGTCTCCCTACACTGATTTAAAGCTTCACTTTATAGTGTCCCTTAATGATGCACCCAATACATGCACAACATGAGAGCTTTCTTATCTGTATCAAATAGAATGCTGTTGCCCTGGCGAGAATCAAACCTGTGCCTGCAGGCTCAATAGAACAATACCATAGCCTACCACAGTTCTTTGGGAATGCAATGCTAAGGCCCATTTTGTCTAATACCACTTTGAGGGACAGCATTTGTCTTTTTTTAGCAGAAATCAGTGACTCACCTAAATTATGAGGGCAGTTTATGAATGTGAGGAAAAAGTAGGGGCGTGGGAATCTTGATTGTCCGTTGTGCAGGCTGTTGACATCATAATGAGGACCCAGGCAACCGGACATGGCATTTTGATTTTAAAAATTTTCCTCACATAGTTTGTTGACTACACCAGAACAACTTTTCTGGTACGCCATCAGACAACTTTTCTTAGAGAAAATCGGGATCCATGTCTGAACAGGCCTTACTGAAAGCCAATGTTTAATTATTGGTTTTGTGTAAACAAGGACAGCACTGTCAATAGGAGTGGTGTTAGACGAACCGCAACTAGAAACTGTATTCAGCAGAGTTGTGTATCAATACAGAAATTTAATTTTAAAAAAGCATTTATTTTTTTATTACCAATATCAGTGACTATGCTTTTCGAGGTTAGTATGAAGTTGCACTGCTGGCAGACAGATATAAAAAAACGACTTCTGAAAAATTCCATATGGTCAACATGCAATCATCAAAATAGAAGACATTAGGTAAGGTAAATACAATATTATACAATGCTTTATTGATTCGCTAAACTGACCTATGTGAATGAATACTGCCCATTTTCACAGAAGGAATGGTATAACATTTAAAAGCTCAATGAAATGAAGCAGCATTGTGATGGCCGACTCATTCATATACATGATCACTTAGAACAAATTTTACTTGGTGTACACCAGCAAATTACAAGATGTTTGCAAGTTTTAGGTACCAGTTATTTATGATTAGGTTGTTTGGCTAAGGCCCACATACGCATGTTCTGTACGATGATGAAATAATGGTAGTATTCAATGCGCCAATGGCTTTTGAATATTTTAAACTACCCCTTAAAAGTTTCCATCTATAAGAACCCATCAAGGTCTACAGTTCTGAAACAAAAATGATAATAACAATAAAAATAATATTAATAAGCAAGTGAACTTTAGATTCATCTTACCTGTGCCAGCTTGGTTCTTATTTGTTTTCCTGGAATTTTGACGATGTAATAATAAGGCTGAAGTATCGCCTGAAATGATTTCCAGGAGAGAAGAATTTGCCAAGAGCATTAGACTTATGTGGCAGTTCTACGAGTGAAATCATCTGAAATGTCATCAAAAGCACTTAATTCGTGTTACCTGTTCCCAGAAAGCTGATTCATTCATGCCCTATTTTATTAAGTTTACCCGGCTTGCTCTGCACAGTAACGACGGCATTTCACGTTAACAGACAAGGCAGGTCGGCGCCAGCAGAACGATAATGTTGCCTATGAATCTCTGTATGAGTTAAGAACGGTGCATGCACCACGCCTCCTAAGGGGTCAGAGTTACCGTCAAAAAGATAACGACGCCAGCAATAACCATTGTGCATTGAGCACTCAACGTGAACACAGCAATGCACCAAGCACTGGGACGCCGGTCCCTTACTATAAACGACGAGTCTCCCATACTTCAATTTAAAGAAACAATTAAAAAAGATTATTTAATGCAGCCTAGTACTCACTTTTTCCATTTCCTCACTGGTCATAGATTGTCCTTTCTTGTCCATGGCGCGAAGACTTCTTCCTCGTCTGTTTCACAGCAGAGACTAAAAGAATGCACTGCGTCAACTGAAACACGTCAAAATTCAAGATGCACAGGCGCGAGGCGCTACTCTAGAGAAAACTGTTCCCTACTCGCACATTACTATCAAGTTTCTACACGCACGATGGGCAGACACATGGTGAATCGGAACACTCGTTGACATCACACATTAAATTTGAAGAATTAGTAGACGAACGCAGAGTTCGAACAGTGGCGCACTTGATAAAGCTTTTCTTAACATGTAAAATTTAACGCATTCTAGCAAAGCAAACGAACTTATGCCGCTGTCGGACCAGGTTCATTGATTCGCGTCAACATCAACGCCAGCGGAAGACGTGCGGCGGCAGCAGACAAAATACAGTTACCGCCTCGCATCCGCCTCCTCGACCACGCTGGAAGGCGAAGGGTAGTGCGGCTGGCGCTAGACGCATAGAGCAGCAAAGAGCGATGATGTCATCAAAAGCGACGTGGCGCTGTTTCATAAGGATACGAGCATAATTTGCCTTTTTGTTTATTTGTACCTCGTGAAAGCAAGACGCTATGAACGCTGTTTTCCACGTGAATCACAGGAATCTTGCTAGCGCGGGAGCATTGAATGTCCATATTGCACGCATAGATAAAAAAAGTCTGATGAATTTCATCCGTTTGACAAGCAACCATAAGAATGACTATTTTGGAACCACATAATGTAGACAATTCATTTTTTTTTTTGCTTTGCACCTTAACGGTTGCTATTGAGGAAAAGGCCACCGCCTTGAACAAAGCCCTGATCTACTGATCTAGCCATCTTGCGTCATTTCTTTCATAAAATTGGGGGGGGGGGAAATTGGAAGAAAGCTGAGCTCTCCCATATATACACACACCCATTATAATATATATATATATATATATATATCTATATATATATATATATATATATATATATATATATGTATATATATATTATATATATATATATATATATATATATATATATATATATATATATGCCACAATAATGCCAAGGAATGTATAGGGGAAGTTATTAGAGCCAATGTAATGTAAATAAAAAGAAAGAAAAGTGAGTGAAAAACTTGCTGTGAGCAGAAATCAAACCCTACGACTTTCTTCCTTTCCTTTTTTTTTTTTTTTGTTTTGCGGGTCCCCAAACTGTGAGGGTGGACCTCTGCTACGGCAACTCGTATCATTTCGCTTAGATCCTACGAAGAAGGTTGGTTCACCAGCCGAAACTGTTAGGATTAAATAAATATTTTATGTTTTTGTTTCCTATGCTGCACTATTCTCGAAGTTTATCATTTTTATTGCGGTAGCCAGAAGAAAGTGATCATATATACATATATATATATGTATATATATATATATATATATATATATATATAATATATATATATATATATAATATATATATATATATATATATATATATATATATATATATTGCAACTAATGACAAATTGCAACTAATGATTACTGAATTAGACAAGGGGAGCAGGAAGGTAAACGAAAGTAATGTACAATGTACAACAGCCTCGGAAGAGAACAGCGCTTCGAGATAGGCAATAATTCACTTGAAGTTGTAAGAGACTTCGTCTACTTAGTACATGTAGGTAATAACCGCGGAGCCGAACCACTAAATTGAAGTAACTAGAAGAATAAGAATCGGGTTGAGCACATCCGGCAAGCACTCTCAAATCATGACTTGTAGATTACCACTATCCCTCAAGAGGAAAGTATATAACAGCTGCACCTTGCCAGTACTTCCTACGGAGCAGAAACCTGGAGGCTTACAAAGAGGGCTCAGCTTACATTGAGGACGACACAGTGAGCGATGGAAAGAAAAATTATAGGTGTAACCTTAAGAGATAAGAAGAGAGCACAATAGACCGGAGAAGAAACCGGCGTTATGGATATCATAGTTGAAATGAAGAAGAAGGAATATATATGGGTCGGGCATGTAGCGCGTAGGCAGGATAACCGCTGGTCATTTAAAGGATAACTGGCCATGGATTCCCAGAGAAGGCAAGCGGGGTAGCGGGAGAAAATGTTCGGTGACAGATGAGACTAGGGCAGCAAGCACAGACCTTTGTCCTGCAGTGGACGTAGTGAGACTGATGAATATATATATATATATATATATATATATATATATATATATATATATATATATATATATATATATATATATATATATATATATATTATAATATATATATATATATATATATATATATATATATATATATCCCGCTGTAACCCTCCCTCTTAGCCACTCACACGTTGCACACGGCTCACCGCAGGAGGTGGGGAGGGGCATGATCACAGTTCGCGGCACCAACTAGAGAGGCAAGGCACTTCTGAAGCATGAATGGACCGGAAACTTCCCTGTCAAGTCTACGAGGACCGACGCGGCATCCGCATACGCTATAGATCACAGAGGGACGCACGCACCTCCTACCAATGCAGCCTTGTTGTCTGGCCCTCTCAATGCGTTCCGTGTGCAGCGCCTCTGAGTCGTCAGATTACATAAACTCGCCATGTTAGGACATGACTTTTTTGGAGCGCATGACGTACGTTCTGTGAACACTATGTACAGCTATATGTGATACTATATAGAATATATTATGTAGGAATACATATTAGAGCCCACTTTCTTATATATTATAAGTTGTTCCTTTTTACGATATTCCCAAGCAGGAAACATAAACGACCCTCGATCACCGTGCATTAGCGTTAATTAAAAAATATTTTGAAAAGGGCACTCAGTTCGGTAGCGCATATTGAGCTTCTATACTGCATTATGTACACGTTAATCGGTGCCTGTGGAAAATGTACGCGCAGAACTTCTTTCGGTAGTGTGCGTCTTCTTGAGAGATGTGCGTGCGTATCGAATTCACAGGAACAAAGCGGTCGACGTATGAGGGGTAGCAACGCCATAAAAAAAATGTGTGTGCCGAAACCAGCATATGATTATGAAGACATTGAAATTTTTTTACTGAAAACGACCTGGACCGTACGTATTACATATAAGTGCACTTCGTAGCATTGGCAAAAGCGCGAGTACGCCCGAACCAATAAAAAAAAAAAATAAGTGACGAAATTAATGCAAGTTCCATTTCGCTTCGCGCCATGCTGAAGTGTCTGTATTGATGCTGCTGGCGTGCTGCATGCCTCATTACGTTCTTCTCGGTCATGTATTTGTCGACTGGAACTTGCGTTGAGAGAGCCGAAGGAGTGCTTCTATAACATCACTTATAAGCATCGCGTCCCCAACGACCCACTTTTGCACAAACCTTTTTCGTGGAGCAGATAGGGGCCAGCTGAGCTGATGCCGGCTTCGGCGAACTTTGAGCCATTGGAACATGGGTGCGCGGCATATCTGCTTGTAGCCAGCCGCACATCGTATTGCGTATGGGTTCCTCGTTCCTGTTTGTCTTTTCGGTGTAGTGGTGTTTTTCCGCAGATCAGGCGAACAAAGAGAAAATGTACAGGAAGAAGGAATACTCGTGCATGCAGGCAAAAACAGAAATAATCATTTATTCTATACCATGACACACGCATATCAATATATGTATTCACGGCACACGCGACCCTTGTGATCTCGTAACAGCTTTCGCTGTAAAAAACAGTTGGCTTAAAGATAAGTTGCCGTAGGCAGTCCGCTTTTATTTCTTCTCATTTACATTACATTGACTACTAATTTAACACTTAAAATATTTCACACTAATTGACATTATTACCAGTTACTTCAAATTAATATTACTATACGTACTATTCAGTCTAGCACGCGTGGGTATCCAAATACATATTCAGGATGATTGCTCGGTAAATTTAGCACGTGCAGCTGAACATTCGCGACACGTGCGTACACTGTGCCTTTTTCGCAGTCCGGCAGCACGTTGCACGTGATTTTCTAATTAGCGCAGTTAACTTCACCACAAACTTTGCAGGCATATCCTGTAATGGGGGGAAAAAATGCTCCAGTATGGTGCACATGCCAGGACCAGCTCCTGGCATGGATCATGTAGAGACCCCTGCGCATAGCGAACGAATGCAGAACGTTGTTACGAATCCACCGCGCACGGCGATTGCAAGTTGGCATGAAAGCGAGCCGCCCTTTTCCTCTAGAGATATTTGTGGCTGCAGGTCTATGCACACAGCGTCAAGTTACGAAATTGAAGTGGGCAAACGCAAATGTCGGTGATGCAGTTATAGTAGTGTTCTGAGATCGGAGGAGATAAATATTAAGGCAGCTTCCCACTGGCAATTGTAAAGAAGTGTGGAGCTGGGCGGCCTTCTTACTTCTGTTTATTTTTCTGTCTCTATGGGCCATATGTGAATGAAGGCTTTTCCTGCATGGGTGCCGCCGTAATCCTCTCTGGGCTTCGTGGCAGAGGAGAAAGCAGGACAAAGCACTGAACGTTCTTCGTCACACTTTCTGCGCTCTTCTGCCGCGATGTTCATGAATTAAAAACTAGCCCACCTAATAACTCTTGTCCTCCTTGTGTGTTCTCCCCGAACACACTACCCTTGTGCAACTATACATGTCTAGAGGATGATGTGATCCTTCTTGCCGTCGAAAAATCTGTATACTTGTCTGCAGCTTCTTCTAGCGCGCTCTTTCTCCCCCCCCTCTCTCTATTCATATTTCTCGCGTTCTTTCTTGGTCTTTCTTTTAATTCATTTTCTTTCTCTCTATATTTCTAATTCTGTGCGATGCTTCACTCTCTCCCATCTGCCTTTCCCTGTCACATGTATTCTACCCACCCTCATATTTCACTTTCCCACACCTCGATGCCCGCGATCGATCGGACTGATCGGTTCATGGGCGAAGCATGCGGGTTCGAATTCTGCAGCAAGAAGCCCCGTCGTGGTGGTCACGTGGCTAAGGTACTCGGCTGCTGACCCCGCAGGTCATGGGATCTAATCCCGGCTGCGGCGGCTGCATTTTTGATGGATTGATTGATATGTGGGGTTTAACGTCCCAAAACCACCATTTGATTATGAGAGACGCCGTAGTGGAGGTCTCCGGAAATTTCGACCACCTGGGGTTCTTTAACGTGCACCCAACTCTGAGCACACGGGCCTACAACATTTCCGCCTCCATCGAAAATGCAGCCGCCGAAGCCGGGATTCGAACCCGCGACCTGCGGATCAGCAGCCGAGTACCTTAGCTACTAGACCACCGCGGCGGGGCTGCATTTTTGATGGAGGTGACAGTGCTGTAGGCCTGTGTGCTCAGATTTGGGTGCACGTCGAAGAACCCCAGGTGGTCGAAATTTCTGGAGCCCTCCACTACTGCGTCTCTCATAATCATATATGGTGGTTTTTGGACGTTAAACTCCACAAATCATCGTCATTCCGCCCTAAGAAAATTTTCTTCGATAATTTCTCTCTCTTACTTTCTCTTTCGGCACTTAAAAAAAAAAATGATCGAGTGCGAACGGTGTATCTGCCTTGCTTGCGCTTCCTTTCTGAGAAAACTCGGCTCGACTTTCGTATCATAAACGTTATGCCACGCTGTCACGCTGATAACACGCATAATACCGCGCGCAGTGATATGCCTGGAAAGGAATGCAAGATAGATAACGATTATTGTTGTGAAACAAAAACAACACACTAAACACAGTAAGTATCGATATTTACTTTGTGCGTACTCGTTCTCTCGCCCATCAGAGTTACGGAGATGATGAGTGGACGAACATATAGCGCGTGCCGATTAGATGATGATAGCATCTTTCTGAGGACAGATTGCAACCAATGGTTGGCAAATTGGCAAATAAACAGCTCGTATGTTACAACCCATTGGAACCCCCCCCCCCCCCCCACACACACACACCTTATACATTTCATTACTTCACTCACGTACCTACTTCATGCCGGTTGCATTTATGGGTTTCTGTTTATATATATCATTTTTATGTTTGAAACAGAGTGAGACATCCACAAAATGAAACTGAAACCGAAAGTGCTAAACCGAACTGAGGGATGGCTAACCTTGAACTACTTTAACACTGGAGCGCATGCTAAATGGCGTCAATGGCGTCTTCATACCGTGTCCTCTTTCGCCTTGTTAGACGACCGTTTAACTACATATTCAAGCAAAGCAGTTCGCCAACATCGCAGATCAATTCCTCCATTTTCCCGCAAGTCACGCAGAGCTTTTGCCAGAAGTTGCCAAGGTGACCGAATTGCTCATTGGCTTGCATGCGCACGGCAGCCGCAAGCGTAATCTTGGCCTTGAAAATTTTAACATTGATGCTGCGCAGAAAATACTGTTTGGCGTGTTGAGTGCACCGAGAAATGTAAAACACTTACTGCTTGGCGTGTTTATCGCATATTACAACACAAATCTTTCAAACGAAGGGTGACAGGGTTTATTTCGTGTTATTTGTAGCTGCCGTGCTTTCCTTGCAAGAACTTCAAAGCCCGCCATCGCTGAGACCGCACTAAGTATTTGTTGTCGCCACAGAGGTCTACTGCTTGACTGTGTCATAGCTGTTAAAGCTCGAATGTGAAGCAGCTGAATTGTCAAACTAGGCGACTTAGCGATGTCGTAAGTGTACTAATTTTCTCATTTTAACGGGCATGTGCTCTGTGGTTCAGCGGATACCGCTCATCGAGTAGCAGTCAATCGCAGCACGTCAGCTGTTCATTGACATATGAAACGAGTGGTTGTTAGAGTTATTTGCGAACGTACTGAACGCGTAATGATTGATAGGGGCAAAGCACGCCCGTGGGTAAAGTTTGAACATTACTACTGCTGGGCTTTTCCGGACTTTAGTGCTCGGTTTTAGCTACTAAAAATTATGCAGAGGGGTATGAAAATTACGGACGTATTTAAAATAAATTTCGGAAGAAACCATGCGTGTGAAAAATTGGTGATTAGGAATTTTAAATGTCACGTTAAATGCCATTTCCAACTGGGAATGGGAAATTTCCAACCTGACGAACCATTTCTAGCTGAAAACCTGGCTGCAAACTCGATGTCTAGTTGGGAATTCACAACCCATCTTCATGTGGGTTCTTCAGAAATCAAGAAATCGCGTTGCGTTAAACTTGGTGGTCTGACATGATGAACTTGACTTGGTTAAAGATCGCCGCTTAATGTACAGCTGCCAAAACCAGAGCATATCTGCAGCACACAGCAGTGCACAACCTTATTTAAATTTAAAGCTCATATGTACTACTTTATTCCTACGAAGGTCGCGGAATCGCATCCCGGCTGCGGCGGCTGCATTTTCGATGGAGGCAAAAATGCTGTAGGCCCGTGTGCCCAGACATGAGTGCAGGTTTAAGAACCTCAGGTGGTAGAAATTTTCCGAGCGCTCCACTGTGGCGGCTCTCAATCATATGGTGGTTTGGGACGTTAAACCCCACATAATTAATTTATTCTTACCACAAAATTAATTTTGTGTGTATTAGACTCCACTTTTTCTGCAGTATTTCCATTCTGTCACGAAGATTTCCCTTCCCCATGCTGGTGTTAAAGTACAGAGTGTTGTTGTGAGGAACCATTAATTTTTTTGTTGTGTAGCTTAAGAAAACATTCCATATTCCTGAACACATACAATGCTGAAACGGTTGTAAGAAGACTTTCTGTGAAACTGTTATTGTTTTCTCCATTTTGGTGCCTTTTGGTGAAAATTGTGGTAAAAAAGCAGGAGAAGAATTTGAGGTGCCTACCTCACGCATGAGAATGAGTGCCTTTGATCGAGATAGTCGTCAGTATGTGCGGCCTTTGACCTTTGATTATAAACTGTATTTCGTGCCAGCGCAGCCTCTGAAGAGATTATTGCAAAGATGATTGATGACTTCAGTTTGTGAACACGAATTCATGTGGACACTCATGTTTTGTCAAAATAAGAAGATGCCGACCACAAGAGAATAAAATTTAGAGTAAAATTTAAATAAAAAAGTGCACCTTGTTATGAATGCCCTACTGTAAAATGGGTCTCGCAGTGCAACCTTCGTTACATATTAAATTGGTACTAAATGTACTTTCATTGTACTATTGTGCAATAAAGTGGCCCTTCTTGCCGCTATACCTGAGCTTTTATGAATAATATCAGGAGCTGTGCTAAGCACCCAGAAGCACCTGTCTGCGGGAAAATTAAATACAACGGCAGCTTCATTCTATGTCACTCCTCTACACTTAAATAATTAGCTGTCATGCCATTATTATTGCAGCATTGTCTTTTGGCTACCTGTTTTGTGCCTATCTTTTACAAATGTACACTACTCACAAAATGAAATTGCAGTATCAAAACATCAAGAATGGCAGCTGTACTGTGCAATTTTGAGAGATAATAAGTATTGATTACAGATCTCTCCACTTAAACTAATGTGAGCTCTGATGTAAGTATGAGTCAGAATTGAATCAATGTGACAAAAAGTGAAGTTAGTGGAAATTAAAGTATATGTGTTATTGACTTAGCCCTACATTAATGTGTTTCATTATGCGAGCATTGCACATTTGAGTCAAAGGAGCACTGACATCAAATTTCAAGATCGAGATGTGCCCATTATTTGATCGCTTAGTATGCAAAAGTCTTCTTGGCCAAATTTGAATGGCATCCGTCGTGTGGAAGTTATTTTAATTTCATGTCAAACAGTGTAGAAAAGCTACGGAGGAAAAAACGTAAAATAGACTGCCCTGCAACATCGACACTAGTGCTACGTGTTCGGTGTGATACATTTCACAAATACCATCCTGAGTGATGATACACTAGTAACAATGATGTCAACGATCTGAGTGTGTTTGGAGCCGACTCCCGGTCATGCTCTCACTACTGGCCCTTCTTGCTGTGTTGAAGCGTGCGTGCGATTCATCTTGTCGCATCGACTGATTTGACGTGTGCTCCACAGCGTGAGTACGATCATTCAGAGTAACAATACGTGCCAGAATGTCAGGGAACCGCCCTGTATTTCGAGGCGTGGAAAAAGCAGAAACTGCGTAGTGTTTCATGCCTTTCCAAGCCAGGAACCTCAACGCAACAGTGGGTTGACTTTGTACGCGCCAATGAACAGAAAGACTGGACGCCTGTGAAGAACAGCCGCATTTGCTCGCTTCACTTTGCGTCGTGTTGCTACAGGGTAAATCTTGTGTTGGCGAACCAGTTGGGTTTCACTGGCAGTACCAGCTGCCCCTTCTCAAGGCCGGGGCTAAAGGGAGAAGGGAAGAACTAGTTGGCGCTACTTAACCTAGCCGGCGGACAACGCATGGAGGGGCTCTAGTCTACATAATCAGAGATACAGCTGTACTGACTGGTGGTGGTGGTATTAGTTAGAAGAGGAAGAAGGCAGCTAATTTTTACAGCCCGTTAGGGAGCACGGCACAGTGCCTGTACTGACTGCACGTGCCCTCCTAGCAGACGAAATGCCAGTGTGCGTGACGTCACCATTTTTTATGGAAGCAGCATCAGCTGTGCAGCGGCCTCGATGTGGCTGCGAGGTAGTGCTGGCAGTGCTACCATTCGGTCGACTTTTGACTCGTTTTGAACCACGTTTGATAGCGGATATATTAATCAATATTATAGATCTTCATTCGTCACTCGGATGCGTTTTAGGTCGCGAATCGCTACTAGGGGGTCGATAGCTACTAGTTGACTCAAAAATCTTGACATAAGTCAATTTGATGTCAGTGCACCTTTAAGTTGTTATATAGTTGTGTTTCTCTGCTTCTGCTGCTAACTGATAATAGAGTCTGTAATTGGGATGCTGTATGTTATCCGAAATTTCAGAAAGTAATAAAAGTCCAAAGCAAGTAGTTGATGAATAAACATTTACTAGACATTGGTGATTTATTGCGTTATGGGCTGCATATACTTTGGCTGGTATGGCTATGTTGGTGACATCTTTATTCCTTTTCTGCTTATACAGCTGCAAGAATGCCATGCTGGCAGGGTTGCTGTCACTTCTTGGGTTACAGGAGCGTGAACCAGAGGACCCACTAATTCACACAATCAAGCTTGGCATTTTGAACCTTCAGAGGCAAGATTTTAATAAGGCCGAGTCAATGCTTCATATCGCTCTCAAGATGGCTCAAGAGCGGGAAGATCACCAGGTAATGCAAATGCCAAACAAGCAGCGACTAAAGACAGGGCACAGTATTGTTTGTGCATTGCCTTTATGCACACTGCTTAAGGGCATAAGGTAGGGTAAAATTTAAAACAAAATTGAAATTTCATTTTTTGCTTGAATGAAATGAAGAGGCCTCTCAAAAATATTCAGTGCCCCACGCACTTTGCTGTGCTTTGATTGAACCAGTAAGACCAGGTTTTTGAGAAGAAATAACGAGAAGCAAAGTCCCTTGTTACGAAACTGTACGACCCGGGCTTTCTGCCCGAAGTAATATATTTGTTAAAAGTCAAAACTGGTAGTTTCCTTGAGCATAGCAGGTTTTAAAAGAAGTATTCCGGCTTCTTAAAAGTGCGTGGTGCAGCCTTTTTAGCATGTGTGGCATTTACTAAGTCCAATTATCTTGTGTGTGAGAGGGCCCCACAAAGATGTGGTTCAGTGTATTTGTTTTGGCGTTACTTTTGCTTTTATTGATTTTGTTGCAACAGCAAAAGATATTCTAGTGGGGACAAATCAAAGAAACTGTTTAGGAAGAACAGTATAATTGGAAATCAACAAGCTTTGGCTACTAACAGAAACGAGGCCGGGAGCACTCGTGCAAGCACTTCAGCTAGTGAGGCGCCTCATAATCATAGCGTGCTTTTGGGACATAAAACCCCAGATATTATTATTCAACTAGTGAGCTTTGCCCTTATTATGCATAGCTGCGAGGAAAGAATGTTACCTGTAATGATAATGGCTTTGTTGTAGGTGTGCTATAGGCCCTATACCTTCCATGTATTTTAAGGCTTCTTTACGATTCATCTGCGAAAGTACTGTGTTCGAAGCGTTCTGTTCGTTCAATTTTATTTGTCGGCATCTATTCTTGCACTAGAGTAAGGATTACAATTTTATCATGTGTTTTCATTTTTGCTATTTTTTTAGCAAAGCTAGTGATTTTGTCAATTTTAAAATAAAATCATTCCCCAAAAACTATTTGGCATACGTACACCATTCTTCTTCAGTAGCTTCATATTGACATTTGCCGTATTCTGGTAAACAGTCAGCCTTCTGTTTATTCAAGTTGTTTTGATCATGGGGTGGATGTAAAGAAAAAATTTATTTTTGAGACATTGAGAGTTGGAAAGGAAAAATGGGTTTATTTCATGTTTTGTTCATATAGATTTATTAGCAGCTTGCGATATAGTAATCACACGAATCAGCTTCTTGCTTTTCTTGTTATTTTGGTTTCGTTTTGTCATATCTTTTGTGTCTCTAATAGCCAAGTACTGTTGATGGCAGTCGATTTCACCCAATCATATCATAGCGTTTTGCCTCAGTGATATGGCAAACAGCTTTGAGAGAGCTTTTACTTGGCCCTTACTGGCCTTTTTGAAAATAAGAATGGTTTCAAACTGGCAATTATGAGGGTTCCCATACGAAGGAACAAGATCCATTGTGTTCTCTATGAGTGCCATGGTTTCCCCGCTTTTTTTATAGACACAGTTGCTTGTAATCGCAGTTTGTAGAAACTATACATATATACATCAATGAAAGCATTGCCATTGTCACTATGTGTAATTTTTTGTTCTTGCGGTAATGCGGAATGAGGACCGTGCTTACTTGAAGTGCTTGCACAAGTGCTCCCGGTCTCATTTCTATTAGTAGCCGAAGCGTGTCAATTTTCAATTATGCTGCGCTTTCTAAACACTGATTTGTCAACACGGAAATATCTTTTGCCGCAGCAATAACATAAAAAAAAGCACAATTAACGTCAAATTAAATGCATTGCACCGCATCTCCGTGTGCATCTAATACACACAGAGCAAGTGGACTTGGTAAGTACCGCGCTTTTTCAAAAAAGTGCACGATGCGCTTTGAAGTAGTCGGAATACTTTTTTTAAAGCCTGCTAATGTCAGGCAAATTGCCATTTTTTTTTAAATTTGACTTGAGGCAAAAAGAGCTCAGGTTGTGCATGGTCTGAAAATAAGTTACAGTTTTGCCGCAAGGGTGAAGCAATGAATGCGATAACATCAAATTGGAATGTCATATGAAGAATGACAAGCAGCTCAAAACTTGCAGCGTGCTACCCAAGCGTAAACGACACATGAAAAAAATACACATTCAAGGGCAATACATGCTATGGGGAAAGTGACAGTAGGGGATCAAGCTTACTATTTTGTGTGTAACTTGGAGAAGTTGCTAGTAAAATGATAAAGAATGGCTAATATACAACTATGTAACTTTCAACTGTATAGTTATAACTTGAGATCATTGCACCATATTTACTGACAGTTGTCAGTGGCCTTTGATACCACACCTTCCCCTCCCATCCCCATTTTTTTCTATAGAGGAACCATTCTAAACCTACCCTAAGCTTGGAAGCTGTGTGGAATGTTTGAGGTATTCTGGCATCATACTTACAGGCACAACCTCGTTGGTAATCAAAGAGAAAAGAACTTGGGTGTAATAATTTTTCTCAATATACAAAGTGCCACCCGAAAGTTTGGTGAATTTGAATTCTGCACACAAACTGGGTGCAGTACTCATTTCCGCCGCTAAATCTGGCAAGCAGTATGCTTTTTGTGCCAGTGTGCTGACAGTTATACAGCTAAGAAGAAGCGTTGGTTTGTTATGTGTAGTCTTGCAATACTGTTCCACTGATTTGGCACATTTTTAATGAGTGTGACAGGCATTAAAGAGCAAAAGATATGCATCAGGTTTTTTTTTATAAACTTAGCAAAACTACTGCAGAAACCCATTTTATAGCTCGGGATGCTTATGAAGTGATGCTATAAGCCAAGAAAAAATGTGGTGTAAATTATTCAAAGACAGTGAAATGTCTGTCAACTATGCATGCCTTGAATGTTTGTGAACAAGCTCAACACTAAAATAATACAAAAGTTTGCAGCAGTTTGTATCGCTATACTTGCAAATTCCATGCTGAATGTAAAGGATAGCTGTGATATTGTAGGACTGTTGTATGGTAAGTTTGTCAAATTTTGTCGAGTGTCTTACACATGAGAGGAATTTCAGGGAAATTTGAGAAAAACTTTTCAGTGAAGAACCAAAGCTTTGCTGCTTTTTTTGTCCATACAGAACAAGAGCAACAATTCATAGGCAGTCCCAGATGTCTTTTCAGTGTTAAAACTGGGGATGAAATTTAGGTCTTGTGGGGTCTCAAAATGGCGAGTGCTTCGCTCTTGGAGTAAAAGAACACAGTAGTCACGGTTGGACCGAACCACATAAACATTTATTTAACTGCTTTTGAGAACAACGATATCGTCAGCTGTGTTATTATAAGATATTGTGATCCACACACTAAACAACCTTACACACTATTACACAACACTCAGCAATATGACAAAGTGGTGCCCCCAACGCAGACGACACCACGGGCAGACGGCCCGTGGTGTCGTGCACCGGGGACTCACACTAGAGACAACCGTCCGCGCCAACCGCCATGCTCCGAAGAGACTCGCTCAACTCTATTGTGCCGCTACCAAGGCTTGCCGCCAGGGGTTACCGCCGGCGCTACCGATCTAACCATGATGGTCATAGTGGTGACCAACGCTTGCGAACACAATGCCACCTACTGCTCAATAGTTGTGTCTCCGAACTACGGCTTTTGTGCGAGATACGTACGCCATGCGGTGCAAACAACTTTACAGGGGGTGTTAGCACCCCCACAGTTCGTGGAGAGCACTGCACGAGCCGATATTTCAGGCCCGGGCCCGGCCCGAAAAATCCATGCTCTGGTTTGCCTGAGCCCGGCCCGGGCCTGAAAGGTTTGGGCCCGGCCTGGCCCGTTTCAGCCAAATGTGCCTTCAGCGTAAACGAAGCACTGTCCAATCTTCAGTTTTTGTGTAGATACCTGCAGCATGCACACAAGATAACTGCTGTTAAAAAGGGTTTTGACAACTTTCGGGAAATTATTTTAGAGCAATATCAAATAAAATTGGAGTCATAACTGGCTCTCTCATATTCGCGGTGCTAAGCATGCTACCTTATTTTTTAATTAAAAAAAAAAAGACTGCAGAGTATAATACCTTCAAAAAGCACAAAAAATGCCAGACATTTATACTCACAGGGTTCGTACAGGTCCTTGAAATCCTTGAAAACCCTTGAATTTGAAAATTTAATTTTCAAGGTCCTATAAAGTCCTGTAATTTTTTTCCATCCTTGGAAATCCTTGAATTTCTTAAGCAGTGCACTTTCATATTGGCATTGCGACCTCCTAAATGTGGTATATCGGTGTGTGAACCTGTCACTCCTTATTTCTGAAGCAGTAATGCGACGTGGGTGCACATGGTCTCATTCAGCAAAAGTGCATGTGAAAAAAAAGTTTGTGGCGAGGGTGAAGCGCTGAATGTGATAGCAAGAAATTAGAATGTCACACGAAGAATGTCACCCCATACATGCAACGCGCCGCTCAAGCACGAAGGACGCTGGACTTCCGCCCCGTACATACAGGCAAAGCATCGCAGCTGCTGCAGGTAGCGGCAAGTTTGTTTTGCAGATGCTTTTGTGGCACATGTGTGCGAGAGCTGACAATACTCAGCATGACGCGTGCAAAGCGTTGTGATCACGTGACTTAAGTCAGCTACACTGCTACCTACTTGCCGAACTCAATCCCCACAAACAGGAACTGAAAATTGTCCATATTAAAAAGGCGACAAATTATACAGCGCGAATAAATGAACCTTGGTGGGTGTATCGTGCTTATTGGAGCTATAATTAAAGCTTGCAGCAAAGAGCGCGCAAGCCACAAATATCGTGGCACGACCCCTTTAAGGCCCGACTACACAAGCGCGTTGAAGCCCATCAGCGCGTAACTTTCTGACATGGCATCGTGCCTTCTCCCTATAAAGAGGTTGTGAGAAGTCATTGCGACTACGCCCCTTTTTTTATAATTGCAATATCCACACGTTTATTGCAAGTGCTTATTGTAAGTGTGCTGCTTCGAGTCTTTGAACAACTTGCAGCAGGTCCTGGAAAGTCCTTGAATATCCTTGAATTTTCGCTTTAGAAACCTGTATGAACCCTGTACTCCTGCTCTATATAAAAAAAAGTGCGTATGAGCTGTGGCTATTGAGTTGATGTAGGAAGTCGTCTGCAAATGTTGTTTTTTGCACAATGGAAAGAAAAAAAATGCCTACCGCATCATCCCAAGGGGGAACCGAACTAAATGCTTCGCAGAGGTGGGGGAGGGGAGGGGTATCACGTGAATGTTGCGTTATTGGGTATGGTTTGGGAATGCTTAATTGTTCATCATGATCATCAGCCTGACTACTCCCACTGCTAGGCAAAGACCTCTCCCATGATCTGCCAATAAACCCGGTATTGTGCTTTCTGCTGCCATGTTATACCTGCGAACGTTTTACTAACTTTCTGTCTCCCCTTCATGCGTTTGCCTATCTGGGAATCCAGCCAGTTACCCTTAATGACCAACGGTTATCCTGTCTACGTTCTACTTGCCCGGCCCATGTCCATTTTTTCTTCTTATTTCGTCTTTATTATTCCTGTTTATTGAATGAAGAGGAAGCATTGCCTTCAACATCAAGCAGAAGCGATGTAAAGACGCCCTTGACTGAATTCAAAACGCGCGATCCTCAGCACGAGCAGTCGTTTCTTTACTATACTCAGCGGCAACTTTTCTTGGCACTGAAGGGAAAGCTACGGGGGGAGCTTCTGCACATGTACCACTACGTGAAGTAGTCCCTTTTGGCGCGCGTCTCGTAATGCTGTGTGAAGTGACGGGGGCGCACCATCAGCGTTTCATGTAGATGCAGACGCGGCTAAGCGTTCGAGGTGCACGTAAAAAAGCGGGACTTTTTCATGCGTTCAAAAACGCGAAGTTACTACAGATAAATTAAAAGAAATACGAATAACTTACAGGTGTGATCTGCATCCTGTCTCAAATAACTTCACATAGAAAACGAAGGAAGAACATTTATATTTCACGTTGAAAATACGGGCGCTACTTTGGAACTAGTATCTTAACTGGCGGTAGGATGCACGTGATTTGGCTCCGTAGCCTTCCCCTCAGTGCCAAGAAAAGTTAGTAGCAGTAGTAAGTAGCAGTAAGTAAGTGATTCCTAAAAGAGAGAAAAGAAGATAAAAGTGAGCCCCATGACTGTCTGCATCATGATGTGGCACCAACAGTGGCTCACGAGGGATGGGGGTAAGGAGGGATTAAAGGGGATAGGGATAGAGCAGGGACAGAGAGACCCACATACAGAAATAAGGAGAAAATAGGAAAGATGGACACGGACACGGGAGTTTGAGGACGGGGCACCACTCAGCGAGAGCTGTACGGCGTCAGGAGATGGCGGAGGGCGAGCCGGTTGGCCAGAGCTGCACTTTCGTGGGAGATCACGGGGGCACAACCGGTCGACAAGAAATCTAGTGAGCGAGTCTTGATAGCAGAAACTGCGTGCGTCAGCCTTGCGAGGTGAGAGAGGGGAGGGGAGCCAAAGTTTAGCGGTTGTCTTCTGGGGCCGGCATGGGAGGCGAGCAAGCGCCGAGCAAGCGCGACATCGTGAGACTAGAAATTTTCCGCATTCAAAACGCGCTTTAGCTGCTTCTGGCAGCAAACCACCAGGCTGGGTAGCGTTACATAAAGCTGTCGTGTTGACTACGCGGTAAGCAACTGTCCCCAACTTACCCTGTTTTCTTTTTCAAAACAAGAAGGTTTTTCACCCCACCCTTCTTTCCCGAATCACTGCTACCGCCTTGCCATCTGTGATCTGGGAAAGCGAGCCACCGTACTCGATGTTCCCCGACGATGCCTATCTCGTCGTCTTCATGTGACCGCGTCCGATCTTTGAAAGTGTTATGTTTTAAAGCAAGACCACATTGAGAGCCTTCCAAATAACTGTCTATTAGGGCACTGAAGTCAACCAGCCAGCTGTATCTTTGGCACTCCCCTCCCAGAAGTACGCATGGTGTCGAATGTCAGGAGCGTGATCTCCCGCAGGGACCGGAAGCTGGAGAGAGGGTGGTCGATGGCCGAAGGCCTCGGTGTGATCTGGGGAGTGAAGTCTGGCTGTTTGTGGCCCACGGTAGTGGTAGCAGACTTGCAGTTCATGGCAGCAACAATAGAGGAGAATGAGATGCGTGAGAAAAAGGAAAAGTGGCGAATATGGTGGGGAACGAAAAGTCAAATGTAAAGAAAAAAAGATTGGCAGATCCTACATAAGTGGGAATCAATGTTATGCGAAGCATGTGGAGGGAAGGTGGCTGTGTTATAATTTTTTTAGAGAGACGTTGCGAAATAATGTTAAAGATGTGTTCGAAAATTGTACACCCAGATTTATGTTGAACAGTCGCGTATGGTTAATATAAGCAGTTTTTACAGCTGCGTAAGGATACCAACAGCAACAAGGGTATTGGCAACACCAGAAGTAGTAAGCTGATATGTCACGCTTGCACTCGCGAGAATGGTCCCTGAACACTGATGCGTAAATCAACTTTAGGGGATGGCACCCAAGTACAATTGACATTAACCCGATGTGACAACTGTATCATAGGAGTACATATGTAATGTTTATAACATGTTTATAATGAAAAACAGGTCCTGATATATTAATGACTCACTGGTCCTGTTTAGCAGTCTACGTAGTCACGCAGCTGGAAACAGGAGCGGTGGGCGTGAGAGCGTAGCTCCATACTCTGAATGTTTCCTGAGATACGTGTACATATTATATACGCCACTCCAGGCAATGTATTGTTGCTCTTTTAGCAATACCACCTGATAAACATTTCCTTACACAGTACTCAAGAGCGTCTTTCACTCAATGGTGTAAAGTCATATTAAGAGTTTAGATATTCGTGCAGCATTCCGATGGAGTGAAATGATAGACGTCCTGTACTGTGCAATTACCGTGCAGGCTAATGGACTCAAAGTGTTCTCATTTGCAGCGTTTCAAATGGTATGTGTCACATTGCTATGTCAAACCCCACAAAACAAAGTAAAGCAGCATACCCTCGCCATTATACCGATACGTATGAAACCGGGGCCTAATTTGGGCCTGACTCAAACCTGAACCTGACCCCGGTCTGAAGCTCGTAGGGCATCGGTTTCACACTGGTGATGAAATGCATTGAAAAGAGGGTCGGCAGCACACTAACATTTAGCTGCCTAAATGCATAGAATTGTTTGAATGCATGGATTTATAGCAGACACACTGGGACCAATGTATACATGCTCAAAGTGACTACTTTGAAGCAGATGGTGCTGATTATGGCTTTAGGTGCAAACATTTTTTTTTACAAATGAATTCCCTGAACTCTAGGATAGCCTGTTGCAGTAGGATGGAAATAGAGGCACTCTATTTACTTTTTGTTAGCAGGGAAAACGACTAAAAGAGTGTGTATGATGCACTGCATTATTGCTTTAGTGATCTAGGAAAGTCTATTTTCAGTCAGCTGCTACAACCTCCACTCTATTAGTTCATGTGTGAATAATGTCACAGATATTCAGCATCGTTTAGTGATTCTTATGTCATATATTTCCATCTTTTACAGGCCGAGACCTACATTTTTGATGTCCTGGCTAATGTAGCATTTGAGAAGGGCGACTATGATAAGGCTGAGAAGCTCTTCGTGGATGTCATCATGCGGTCTATTGCTGCTGGGATGCCACGTGATGACAATGCCATTGTAGAGATCTCGCTCAAGCTTGCCGAGATTTATGATCACCGTAAATACACAAAGAAGGCTGAGCAGGGATATCGTTTTTGCATCGATACTCAAGAAAAAAAGTTGGAAAAAAAGGATTACTTAGCCTGCCTTTCTGAGTTAAGTGATGTTGAAAGGGATACTTTGGTGCTTTGGGCACGAAGCACAGAGGCCTTTGGACGGCATCAGCTGGAGCAGGGGCGAATCTTAGAAGCACAGAAATGCTTTGAGGATGCACTTACGGTCTCAAAGAAGGTTAATGGCATGGGTCATGAAGTTACTCTTTCATTGTTGAATGATGTTGGCACTGTGGCTTCAATGCTGCATGACTATGACAGAGCACTGAAATTGCTCAATGAAGCGATTGCAGTGGGTCGTGAAATTAAGTCGGGCAATCTGGCCGTGTTCTACTGCAACTTGGGTGGTGTGTTAATGGAGGAAGGCCGGAGCTATGCAGAAGCAGAACATGCATGCCGTGAAGCCCTAAAGCTGGCCAACAAAACAAACAACAGTGAAGCTGCAGCTAGGTCTCGTGAATGCCTGGAGGAGCTAAAGAAGCGTGCTCCCAGAGCAGTGTTTGTGAGGTGATCAATGACGCTTTGCTGCATTCCACTGATGCAAAGTGTTTTTTTTTGTGCTCTTGGCTGACTTCTTTGGTTGCAGCATATTGATATCAATTGCAGTGTCATGCAGTTATGCTTGCACATTTATGTTGCCATTTTGCTGATGGCAGAAGCCATAATACAGCATCTAGTCATAAACATGTATCCATCGAGCTACAATGGCGGCTCGCAAGAATAGCATTTGTCTCAACTGTGGTACAGCTCTGTCCAGTTAAGCATGTTTGCTTGTGGCCAAGAAGCATCCTTCTATGTTCCTAGCCTGCACTGCCTTCTCTGGTCTTTAGAAGCCTGCGCCTGGTGTAGGCACTGTGCACAACTGAGGGGAATTGATTGTGTGTAGATATATTTCCTTACTGAAAGCTCCTAGCTGATAATTCTACTGGGGTTAAAATGTGATGCTTGATACATGTGAACGTTCTTCCACTTTGTTCCGAGGGATTTTTTTCATTGAGCACTGCTACCTATGTGTTGTAAACATTTGAAGTGAGCATAATGTACATTGCACTGTTGTTGTCATTAGTTATCTCTCTCCGACTCTGTGTGACAAGTGTGGGAGCATAAACATTGTTAAGCAATAAAGTTAGAAGCATTGTCCAATGTTATCATAGCAGTTACTTGCGTGCTGGTGGAACAAAAGTATCAAAAGTGATTTTTCAAGCTGTGTTTTGGTGGAATGCTATTAGTACATCAGCAACAAAAAATAAAAAAATGTGCAAATGCTGTGCTATAATTTTTTTTGTAAATGCATATGTATGCATCAATCATAGTAATGTTACACATGGTATAAAAACTTAATTTATATAGCTGAAAGCAGTTGCAGAGTGACAGTGCTTCATTAGCATTTTAACAGGATGTTACTCTACAAAATCTGCATAAAAATTGAGAAAGTGCTTGTGTTATTACTCAAAGAGGGTGTCTTGCACAAACTAGAAATAACATACTCTACATTGTATAGTAACTTGCTGGCTGCTGAAGGATAGCCGGTGTTATTTTCATATGCTATGAGTAAAGTTCACTGCTAAATGCTGTTTCAGCTTGAAATGTTAACCCGATTCCTGACTTTCTGGTGCAATCATAGAGTTTGTGCTGGCCGGTGTGTAACAGAAGCAATCAGTACAATACACAAGGCAGGCTTGAAAGCTTAAAACATGTACAGTACCTTCTGCCCGTTTTTTTTACCCGCACTCTCGATCATCATTTGTTCTTGCTATTTCTGTAGAGACAAATATGTCAAGGGCATTAAAAACCCAAAATAACTATCTCCTTTTTTTTGTTCATAGTATTATCTTCATTTTTCGTAGTACACAGAGATGAGCCATGTAAAATGAGTGCTGTTTTTTTCCCCAAAAAAAGCTGGGTAGCTACTTTCTTGGCGTGTTAGGTTCAGAATTGTGTGATGAAGATTTATTCTAAGAATTGCTGCAAGTTAAATTTACCTGAATGTAGCTTTTACACGTGTTTACTGAGGTGCAAACCTTCATTAGTGTAACATCAATTTTTTAATATGTATAAAGAAAAACATTGCCACTTGCTGTTGAAATAAATTGCAGATATTGAATACCATGTCGTTACTGCTAATTTTGGATCAGTAGTGTACATCACTTTTTAATTTTGTGTTGCAGCACTTCACACCATTTTAGTCTTGTATGTTTTTGTCACACTGCTCTGATTTGTTAATAGGCATTGGCCAAATTCAGCATGAATATGCTGAATTTGGCTGGTCTATTTGCTGAATCATGCTGAATCATGCTGGCTGGTCTATTTGATGGCATGTATCTTTCAGAATTGTTTTCCAAGGCAGTGTTCTAATTATTAGACAACACGTAGACAGTCTACACAGGCAGCTTAGTAGACAGCATGAAAGACAGCACCGAGCTCATGCTGTCCGAGAAATGAAACACGTCTGGACGGCTTTTACGCGACAAAGCGCCATCTTGCGTCGAGAAGAGAAAGCTAAAATAAACAAACCTAACAGTATTTTCTGGCTTATTTCGTGTTGAAATCTAAAAAAAAAAAAATGTTACTCACATTGAGCGTCAGGAGGAGCGTCTGCTTGTGTGCAGACGACCATTCTGTAGAGATTCTATCTATCTGAGCGATTAGCTGAGCTGCCATCTTGTTTGGACAGCAAAGTAGCCTGCCTCGTATTTGTCTACAATGCCATCTTCTCGGAGCTGTCTATTTTGCCGGCTACTTGAGAATTAGAATAGGACTTAAGATGACCACCGTCCATTTAGCTGTCTAATTAGCCATATAATTAGCCGTCTACAATGAGTATTGGAACACACCCCAAGTAGTCAGAAAGTGGTAGCATACTTGCCAACTTCAAAAGCTTTGTTGTGAACGCTTGAAGAGCTTGTTTGCAAGTGTAATCTTCACGCAAGTGTAAATATTTTTACTGTTCAATTTAGTGGACATTTAGATTGCGAGCCTAAGTTTTAGACCTTGAATTTTACTGGCCCATTAAATTCTTTGTGTCTACCCGCAGCAACAATGCTCTTTCATAGAACCATTGTGTAACATGAACTTGCAGCTCTGTTGTCTATTAAGTGAATATTTACCTGATAAAACTTCCTGACTATTCCCTAGAGTGCCTCTTAGTTCGTATAGAACACAGCTCATATATATATATATATATATATATATATATATATGCAGTCAATACTTTGAGTGATATAGCAATTCGTTGTATATTTCACCAGATTTCTGTATTTTGAAACACCGACAGCAGTATTTTCTCAAATGTGTAAAGTTTGGCAGGTCGGCTACAGTTCAAGTGTTAATGCCGTATATGACTCGACGAGTCACACTGAGCAGGATATCTTTATGCACATTGAAGTGTAACTTCTCCAATGTATGATAAATTGTTTAATCAGTATGTCTTATACAAAATATATTTGTTGTACAGTTATTTGTTCAACTGAAGATTTGTTGAACCTTGGTGGTGTGGCACAGTTTCTGCTGCTGGCACCGTGTGTTTGTTAAAGTTGTACACCTTTGTGTTCTCTGTATGGTGAATTTACCTGTAATGCAAGGTAACAAGAAATAAAATTCAAGAAAAACGCTCTTCATTGTGTTTTATGCATGGTTGCAATTAAGATATGGTTGTGGTCTTTGTAGTAAGAGTGTAGTAGCTAGTTATTCACATATTCTGAAGTAAAAATGAATCAATACAATAATAATAGATGCTATGTTTAATTTCCCAAAATGAGCTTTCAATAGAAAATCCACTCGTTTGTCTTTCATTTAGATGATGGCCTCAACTGTGGTCGTGTGTTCATTTTTCATTGCTGCTCTGAAATAAAAATCTGTAGTTGCACTTGAACAATGGCTGAAAGCTTGTCAATTGGATAAGGCAGTCTTGCTATAACAATAGTTACCTGCTTTAAAAAATAGCCTGCAGAATTCACCATATGTGTCCCACTCGTAGAAGTGCCAGGGTATGTGTAAGTAAAGATAGTATAGATAATAACACAGTGGAACAGTGCAGCGGAAGACAACTGCTGTAGTAATTTTAAACATATGCGTGATACTAGTAAAGGTATGGTGTCAGTGTGAAATGTATAGCTTGAAAATTAATTTTCTCCTGAATTGCACTCGTCATTCCAATGCACCCTTGTGCAGTGGTTCGCTTTTTTGCAGCGACAGTTAAGTTTAGACACTAACCAGGATTGCATTCATTTTGTTTTTCAATGGGCATGCCTAATTTGTTATGGTAATTTTATTTATTTATTTTAATACTGCCAACTTGCTTTACAAGCCATAGGCAGGAGTGGATTGTACACAAAAGAAAATGATGAACAATCTGTGAGAACGGTTCCAAACAAATCTGTGGAATAAAACTAAAAACAGTGTTGAACAATCTTTTCAGTATGTGAAACAAGAAACAACAGGTTCCAGTAAAACACACACGATAATACAGTTGAAAATACTGGTAAGAAAATACATGGACCACAGGGTGAAAAATGTTTCAGTTTAGGACAAATAAAATAACTACAAGGGGAAAAAAAAGAGAAGAATGTGCAAAAGAGCGCATGTTCACGCAGTAGTCTGCTCGACAACGATAAGAAGGGTGTAATGATTTTGTTTCAATGTCGCACGCCATCTGGAAAGCGACAGACGCCACAGGAAACATCTCGGTCATAGATGAGCGAGAGCGTGCATAAACGACGACATGGTTGGGCTCTGTAATACATTTTCAGGCAATGCGTTCCATTCATGGATTGTACGAGGGAAGAACGATTTTTTGAACATGTTGGTTCGGCACGAGTATTCGATTAGTTTGAACGAATGAGATGAACGGGTTGGGCGCCTACTACACGGTTTAATATACAATTCCCTATCTATTTTGACATGTTGTCGATAAATCAGGTATAACATCTTGAGCCTGTCTCGATAGCGTCGTACCTCTAGAGTTTCGAGGTTCGCGTCCTGTAAAAGAGCACTGACGGATGTATGACGACGGTAAGAATTAAAGATAAATCTGACTGCTTTCCGCTGTATGTTTTCGATTTCGCTTACGTTTGATTGGGTGTAAGGGCCCCAGACAGGAGTAGCGTATTCTAGTAATGGTCTTATGAATGTCTTGTAGGCCAACAATTTTATATTGCTCGTAGATTTAGCCAAGGTTCTTCTCAGGTATCCAAGTTTCTTCATGGCCTTATTTTTAATGTGAGCTACATGGTTACTCCACCTAAGGTCCGACGTGATCACTAAACCGAGGTATTTATATTGCGTGACAGACGATAAGTTATGGCCATTAATGCTGTACACAAAAGGTAATGACTTCTGTTTGCGTGTTATGGTCATCGATACTGTTTTTCTGAGGTTAATGCTCATTTGCCATTCTAAGCACCAAGTAGCTATAACTGATAAAGATGAATTTAGGATAGCCTGATCTGCCTCGCTGTGGATTTCATTGTAGAGTATGCAGTCGTCTGCAAACAACCGAATTTTAACTGGTATGTGTTGCACTATGTCATTAATGAACAGTAGAAAAAACAGGGGACCCAAGACTGATCCCTGTGGTATTCCAGACCGCACATCAGATGAGTCCGACTTTGCGTCGTCGACAACGACTGTTTGCCGCCTGTTTGTCAGATACGCCTCTGTCCATTGAAGTAGCTGGTCGTTTTTGAGAATGGGTTTTAGTTTTAATAGCAACTTTTGATGGGATACACGGTCAAAGGCCTTTTCAAAATCCAAAAATATTATGTCAATTTGACCTTGGCTGTCCAGTGTTGCCGCAATTTCATGTACGGTTTCCAGTAGTTGCGTTATACGGTTGACATTCCGCGACGGAAGCCGTGTTGACGTGTGTCGCAGAGGCCATTATTTTCAATGAAGACTGAAATGTGCTTAAATATAATGTGCTCCATCAGTTTCGATGAGGTACAAAGAAGAGAGATAGGGCGGTAGGAGGACAGCAGTGAGCGGTCCTCTGATTTAGGGATGGGAATAATCTTTGCATGCTTCCAGTCGTGTGGTATTTCTGCACGTGAAAGTGATTTGTTGAAAATAATGCACAGATATTTGGCGCACCATTCCGCATATCTCCGGAGGAAAGCATTAGGTATTTCATCGACGCCTGGCGATTTTTTCACGTCAATGCCAAGAAGCAAGGACAGTACTCCCGCTTCGTTTATGTCGAGGGAGCTTATGGGCGGAGTAGCGTCTAGAACAGATATGCGTGGTATCTTGCCATCATCACTCGTGAACGCGGAGCAGAAGTACTCGTTCAGTGCATTTGCAATTCTGAGTTTGTCAGTCAACATGATACCATCAACACAAATATCAGACACGTGGGTCTTCTTTGGCGATAGATATCTCCAGAACTTATCCGGGGATGACTCAAGAAAGTTTTTCAGTGATACATTTTGATAGTGATCTTTAGCTTTTAATATGCCGTTTTTAAGCTGTCGGCGCAGGTTGGTTAGCTTATCAGAGTTTGCTTTTGATGGTCGTACCGTATGCTGCTTTCTCACTTTTTTTAATTTTCGCCCAAGACGCACAAGGTTTCTTGTCATCCACGGATTCGTTTCACACACATATTTTCGCTTTTTGGGCACAAAATTGTCGATACAGTTGTGAACAAGTTTTTTAAAGAAGCACCATAAGCTATGAACAGAGCCATCATGTGATTCCGAAAGACATACAAATTTGGAAAACTCATTATCTAAAGCATCAAGTATGTCGACGTCGCTAGCATGTGAGTACACAGGAATTAAGTGTTGGCTTTTAGATGGTTTTAATCGGAAGTTTAACTCTAACGTAAGAGATGCCATTCTGTGATCTGAAATTCCCTCAAATATGTCGACTCTCGGATTGCGCTTGAGGACGTGGTCGTTTACCAGGACAAGATCTAATATGTTAAGTGCGCGAGTCGGTTGTTTTACTAGTTGCGTCAGCCCATGAAAAAGAACGATATCGGTTAAAGGTTCTGCTGCTGCGCAAAGAGCATTAGGGAAATCAGTTGACCAGTCAACTGACGGGGCGTTGAAATCACCAGCAAGCAAAATGTTCTTACAATGCGTGCCAGCTGTACACAAAAATTCATTCAAATTGTCAAAAAATATGTCACAGTTTGGTGGGCGGTAAAAACCGGCGATTACGAGATGGAAGTCGTTTAAAAAGACTTTCGCAATGACGCATTCGGTGTCTGCTATGTCAGGGGATCTTTGAACATGCATGGACTCTTGAAACAACAGAGCGACTCCGCCCCCTCGGGAATCTCGGTCCTTCCTATATATTTTGTACCCTGGTGGTGTTATCTCGAAGTCTAAGATACCTGAGTGCAGCCAAGTTTCAGATATTATTACGACATGCGGCTCATGCGCCACTATAATACTTTGCAAGTCGCTAACTTTGTTTACGATGCTGCGAGCGTTCAGATTA